ATCAACTCTCCTTTTTGCAGGCCTCACAGTTTGGGCCTACAGAGTGCCACAATAGGAAGGAGTGAACTGGCAATCCTTCCAGTAAAGTTAACTGGGGGGTTACAGGATTTGGATTCTGACTTGTGAAAGTGAAAGGAACTACCTTGAAGAAGCCAAACTGCAATTCATTTGTATCCCATCTTCCAATTGTAAAAAAACAAAAACAAAACCCTGTTTGTTTCAAATAATCCATGGTCTCATTTGTTGATCCAGGGATGGAGGAAGGAGCCTCCCTGGACCCAGCTAGAGCCAGTGGATCTCACACCATTAAAGGCACAAGAGCCTTTATCTCATGTGGCCACTATAAAGCATAGAAAAGGAAAACATGGCTCTGCCAAGACCTATTGCAGAAGTGGATGACCAATACAGGACAGGTTCTGAATCCCAATTTGGGAAAGGCCTTGAGGACCATATACCAGATGAAGGTTTGGCCAAAGCAAAGTAGGCAGGGCCAGTGTCATTCTTACTAGCTTGAGCATTAACATAGATACGAAGCACAGCTCAGTTCTATGCCCATTTACTCAGAAGTTAGACAAATCAGAGGATGGTTTCATAGAACAGGTCCCTGGGGCTGAAATGATCTCTTACAGTATTCTCTTAATTTCATTGGTTGAATTCTACAGACCTACAACATGAGTAATGTGCTCTGACTCAAGTAAACATGTTACTCGCTTTATGCTATTCAGCATGATGCAAAAGGGAAAAATATTACAGATGTGGACAAATGTCTTGAAAAGGTTTAGAAACCAAACTGAGTAATGTTGCGGGAGCAGGGTGTGAATAGTCTGGAGACCATGTGATATACTTGTTTACTTCAAATATTTGGAGCAGTTTACGACATAATTATGTAAGGAACACTTTTCTTCCCAGTGAACTGGGTACTCATCTTGGAAGGATGAGTCAACCTTGAGCTGGCTAACTGAACCCTTCAGGATTAAACTCAGGTCATGAGCAGATGCTTGACTAAGGTACTGCAGTTTAACTACTGTGTCATGGGGCTCTCTGAACCAATCCAAGCATTAGGAAGAACTGCCTAATAGTAAAAGCAATTTGTCACTGAAACAGGCTATCTTTGAAGACAATGCATTTTATAACTTTAGCACTGTAGGCAGTTGTAATGTTGGTATCAATTGGGATAGAATCACATCTCTAATTAAAAACAAGGAACCATTCCTTACATCCCAAACTGGCAACTTTCATGTAAAGACACAGTTTGCTCCTACAACCTACTGTAATGACAATATTGTCTACTGGGAAAATTGACAAATCTTGCCTTGAAGCAAATAATGTGAAAAAAGATGAATCATACAAGTTTAAAAATGGATTTCTTTATTTTGTATGTCTTAGCTGTCAGACTGCTTAAATGGCTTCAAGCTATATCATGTATTGGTAGGATAACACACAGAAGATGGGGATTTCCTTTAGTGTGACTGTAATCTACTTCATAGTAAACTACCTTTAATGGCTATGAATTGGACTGTGACCTTTTTGAGAGGTATTCTGTAGATGGCCAGTCCACATTACCCAAGGATGTAATTTTCATGCTGCATATTATATTGATTTTTCTGGTGTACAGTTAAGAAGCTGGAATGCCACTTGGTGAATGAGAAAGTATGCAGCCGCTCCCAAGCATTTAGCTAAGTAATTATCAGGCACAAAATAAATGAGTCAAATAGACCTTTGACGAACCAGTATCTGTTCATGAAAGCAAAAATAAACAGCTGACCTCTCAAAACATAGGTCTCTTGAGATCCTTTCTTTACAAGGAATGCAGAGCACACCAACCAGTACAAAGTGAATTACAGTAAATTAAAGCAGGCAGTCATATATTCACTCACCAGGGAAGAGGTCCATTGAACTTGTGATACACTTCTAAATAAACATATGCAGGGTTGCATTAATTTTGCGGGGAGTGGGAACAGCTATGTTAGTCTGTTGCAGTGGAAACAGCAAAGAGTCTTCTGGTATTTTAAAGACTACAAGTTCAGTTTGGAAAAAAATATTTGCAGAATGTATCTCACTTTGTTCCATTTATCTGATGGGCTACTATCCACTAAAGCCAGTGACAGATAAGACCTCTCCATCTCAAAGATCCTTGGTTGTCTTGAGGTTGTATTGTTAATTAAGGGGGCAATTTGTTTTCTGGTGCAATGGAAACATGTCTTTTCTCAAATAAATACGAAGATAGCTTTCATGGCATTTGTTTTCTGGTGCAATGGAAACATGTCGTTTCTCAAATAAATATGAAGATAGCTTTCATGGCAACTTAATAATAATTGTGTGCCCTCAAGTCAATTCTGACTTCTTGTGACCCTTTTCAGGGTTTTCTAGGTGGAGAGTACCAGAAGTGGTTTACCATTCTCTTTTTCTGGGGGCATCTAGGGCTTGTGTAGCTTGTCCGAAACCACATAGGCTATAGGGCTTGTGTAGCTTGTCCGAAACCACTTAGGCTAGCTCTATTTTGCAGGCGGCACAGCGGGGAATCGAACACCCAGCCTCTGGCTCCACAGCCAGATACTTTACTCACTGAGTTATCCAGTGATCTCATGCCAACTTAAGGTCTGATTTATACAGCTCAAAGAAAGCAATCCTTCCACATCCACTAAGTTTTTAAGCCAATTTGGGATAACTTCATAGAGAATTGTTGTTGTTTAGTTGTTAAGTCGTGTCCTATTCTTCGTGACCCCATTCTTCGTGACACACCAGGCCCTCCTGTCTTCCACTTCCTCCCGGAGTTGGGTCAAAGTCATGTTGGTCGCTTTGATGATACTGTCCAACCATCTCATATTCTGTTGTCTCCTTCTCCTCTTGCCCTCACACTTTCCCAAATCAGGGTCTTCTCCAGGGAGTTTTCTCTTCTCATGAGATGGCCAAAGTATTGGAGCCTCTGCTTCATGATCTGTCCTTCCAGTGAGCACTCAGGGTTGATTTCCTTCAAAATGGATAGGTTTGTTCTCTTTGCAGTCCAGGGGACTCTCAAGAGCCTCCTCCAGCACCACAATTCAAAAGCATCAATTCTTTGGCGGTCAGCCTTCTTTATGGTCCAGCTCTCACTTCCATACATTGTTACTGGAAAAACCATAGCTTTGACTATGCGGACCTTTGTCTCTGCTTTTTAAGAGGCTGTCTATGTTTGTCATCGCTTTCTTCCCAAGGAGGTGTCTTTTAATTTCATGGCTGCTGTCACCATCTGCAGTGATCATGGAGCCCAAGAGAATAGAAATATTCTCTATAGAGAATAGAAATGTAGAAATAAACGGAGATCCTTAGGTGGGTTGACAAAGAGAAACATTTAGAGCTGTGCAAGGGTTGCGTTCTCCAACATTTTGTGGGAGACTATTTTTATTTCCTACAGTACAGAGATGTGGAATATATAACTTTCCAGATCATGGTAGATTGAAACTCCATGACACTTTAGTATTGACATGGATCATGGGAGTTGCAGTCTAGCAATATCTACATGGCCCCATGTTCCTTAGACTTGCTATAAGATCTGTATGGCAGACATGAAATCATAGGTTTGCTTATTTGATACATTCCCTATGTGTTCCATGATCTGTCTCCTTATTTACCCATACTGTACTGTACTTTTAACTTCTTAAGACTGAGACTGAGAGTATTCTTAGCAAATCTTCTCTGGTGAACCTCCTTGCTTTCAGTGATCTCTAAGAAAGCTTGTACCTGTTTGCTTTGCTTTTACACGTTATATTTTAGCATTATTTCTCTTTTTTATCACCTTACAATTAAGATATGGTGTAGATATTTTAATGAACAAATAGCCACACTAACATGTGTGTGCCAGTGGCTGTTGCCTCTAGAAATGCAGAAATGTGCATTCTGTGTATATTTGGCAGTCCAGACAGAGGAATGGGAACCACAGGGTGCCGGTATCTTTATGTGTTGCAAGGGACATTCGAGATGTACTACAGATTAGGTTCAGAGCTGAGGAAGTCTGCACTTGCTGGTTATTTTTAAAAAGTCCTTGTAGCTCTTCAAAGACAAACAAGCAAACCTAGTTATCCATTTGGGGTGCTAATACCTCTAATTTATTTATTTACTTTATTATCTCACTCTTCGTTCAAGATTAGGGAAACAAATCTGGGCTAAGAAAGGACAGCTGGATAGGGGTTCTGGAGAGGTTGGGAATTTGATTTCCCATTACGTCTCCCTGACCGGCTCGATTAGATGATCCAGCCTTACAGTTCTAAGATGATGATGATTAATAGTATTATAATCATAATACTATTGTTTGCCACCCCGTAATGCATGGATTATCTCAGCAGTTCATAGCATGTTAAAACACATTAATAGATGAAACCAAGTATCTTGCACTAAATACCATAAATAGAATAAAGCCCTGTACCTAACTAAAACCTATCTTACGCAAATTAAACAAAATTGAGCATATCAGGTGGCAAGGCACTAATAAAAGGCAGCTTTAAATAATATTGTTTTTACTAATTTCTTAAAAGCAGAGATTTTAGTCCAAGATCACCCAGGAAGCTTTACTGCATTCTAGGCCCCACAACTTAAAACTGGGGTGGAAAAACTGTAACCACCCTCATAAGTTACGGTATAACCATGCTGAACTGCAACTTTCCTGAGCTCCTGCCAACGCAGGTCAAGGAGAGGGGTGATGGGAATTGTAGTCCAACACGTTGAGAGCCTCAAGCAGCCAACAAGGGCTTAAACAACGGTTCTTGACTTCCAATTTGCTATTAAATCTACAGGTCTGCTTCTTTTTAACCTTTTCGGTCACTTCTTATCCTTTAAAAAAAATCCTATCTATCTCAGCATGACTGACTTCTGAGGAAAACACAGGCGCGCGCACACACACTGTATCCACACACAGTCAAGGAAAAGTGCCACAGAATTGAGAGGGAAACTCCTGAATAAACATGAAGAGCAGAGTTGGGCTCTTCCCCCTTTCGCAGCCAGCGGCCCCTGAGGCCCTGGGAAGCTCGAGGCTCCGAATAAAAAGCCTTCTTAAAAGCACGGCCTGAGGCGCCACCAACTGCTTTTTTGTCTTCAACTCCCCGTTTTCATAATGGAACCGTCCTAGCTACCACCGGCACCCGCGTTCTCCCCCTCTCAACCTCCTAAGGTGGAAGGAGCCAAAGCGCCCCGTTGCCATGACGACGGCCAAGCCGCCTTCCGCGCCTGCTTCGCCTGAGAGGAAGGCCCTGGAAGCGGCCGAGAGGCTTCAGGAAAAGGGTGGGCGTTTAAGTCGCTTTTTCTTCAGCCGTGAGGGGTTCGTTCCCTTTCTCCCTCTCTCGCTGGCTGGCGACGGCGAGTATCTGCGGGGGAGCCGGGACTCGTGGGGCTTGACGCCGCCTGGGCCGACGAAATGGGGCGGGGGGGAAGATGGTGGTGGTTGGGCGGAGGAGAGGCAGGAAGGGATCCAGGCTTGAAAAGGAGGACAATTAAGTTCTACAGAAGACAGTTTCCCTTTCCTCCCCGTTTCTCTTTCCGTGCCTTTAACTCCCGGTATTCGAGGGGGACAGGTACTAAGCACCCCCGTAGATACTGAAAAACGCTGATTATAGCGAACGCTGAAGACAGCACGGTTTCTGCCTCCCTCTAATAGCTTCATCTTTAAAAATACATATTTCTAGGATTTTCTTTTTAATATTTCCAGACTACTACTACTACTACTACTACTACTACTACTACTACTACTATCATCATCATCACCATCATCATCATCATCATCATC